AAGTTATAAAGAGATTTAATCGATCGAACTTAGTAGATAGAATAATAATATTTTAATAGAGTTATTTTATAAATTATAAATCTTCTTAATAGAAGAAAAGAAGAATAATGCGTTATTTATTAATTTAATTATCTATAATAACTCTATCGATATAAATATTAATAATTACTTAATAGATATTAGTCTAAATAATCTTCTAATTCATCTTTAGTTAATAGAGTTTATTACTTTTAATAGTTATATAAATATCGCAAATAAAATACTATAGTAATCTATCGTAGTAAAGAAAGTAATTAAACTTATCAAAACGACTCTATATTACATATCTATAAGAAATTAGCGATTAATAAAATAAAAGAAATAAATAAAATAGATCTATAATATAAGATAAGCGTTATTTATATAGAGTTACCTTAACTAATAATTCCTCTAACTTATAAAATAGTTTTATCGTTTCTACTTTACTAAATAAGAAAACTTTTATTTAATATATTATCTATATAGAGTATATTATTATATTATAATTATTTATTAAATAGAAAGATAAGAGAATAGCGTAAGATATATAGATTAAATATTAATATAGAATACTAAATCTCTTATTACTTTAAGTTTCTATTAATATATCTCTAGTCTTAGATATATTTAATAAATTATTAATATTACTCTCTTAGATAATAATAATCTTATCTAAAATAAGATAATTATAAATATATAAATTATAATATTATAGATTCTTATAGAGTAGCTTATAATCTTATATATTTAAATTAATCTTTAGTCTTTTAAATATTAATTTGAAGATATTAATATAGAGATTAATACTTCTAAGAATTATAACTATTTTATAATAAAATATTTAATTAATATAATTATAGTAATTATATCTAGTAAAATTAATATAAGAAACGTAATTAAAAGAAAGTTATATCGTATTATAGATTAATCTTAGATATTATTTATAATATAAATTTAATTAAAGATCGATTATTTATTCTTTAAAGACGCTATAATAGATATATAAGTAGTAATTACTTTCTAAATTTTATATATATATAAAAAGCGATTAAATAATTAATAGTAATCTATTATAAGATTATAGAGATTATATTATTATACTAAACGCTATAGCGATAAAATTCTTTATAATTATTAATAAAATTTAAGATTTCTAGCGTTAAAGAATAGAGGATTTAATTAATAATATACTCGCTAAGATTAATTAAATTATTTATACTTATTTCGACGCTCTTATAATTCTATTCTATATTATTTACTTCTTAATTAATATCTATTTTAGATATATCGACTTTAGACTTTCCGCTATCGTAGTACTATTTAATAGTTTTATCTTTTTATAACACCGCGCTATAACTATTATAAATCTAATTTATAGAACTTAAATTATATTATATAGACTTTATAATATATAAATAACGCGTAATATAGTTAGCGAGTTTTATTAAAGACTAAATAGAATTTAAATAAAGGCTAAAAGATAGATTAAAAGAATATAAATTATCGAAAAAGTCATTATTAAAGAAGTCTACTAATAGATCTTATAATAGAGAATTTTTAATAGCGTCTTTCTCTCGTTTAAAAGCTTCTTTTTAATAATATTTAAGATTTAATACGCGTTAAGAGATTTTAAAATAGAATAATAAAGAATAAATAGAGAAGAAAGACGCGTTTTAAAAAATAATATCGCTAGATTAAAAGATATTATTGCTAGCTTAAAAGAAATCTATAAAAGAAGACGTATTTATTTCAACTCTTTTTAAGAGCCTTTTAACGCGTTTATAAGTAATAATAGATAGCTATTAAGCTCGCTTACGACCTCGATTACTAATAATAACGAATTTATTAAGAAATAATCTAAAGATATTAATAGAGACTTTAAAAGGAAGATAAAAGAAGTATATATATCTTATAAATCTAATAATATAAGAGTAAGAAATAGAGAGAATAAATATATTTATATTAATAAAATTAATAGAATTAGTAGAGTAATAGAGAAATAATAATTATATAAATAGATGAAAGAATTATTATTCGATCTCGAACGCGCTTAATATAACTATAATAATTAAATATTAATTTTACTTATTAATAGTAAGTTAAATTTTATAAATTTTATATCGTTAGAAAGCGTAAACTAAGCTCTATAATTTACGAAATTAAGAAGTAATAATATTCTTAGAAAGCTAATTATTTTAGAGTAAAAGACTTCTATATATAGATTTTTATAGATTTTTAATAATTATAAACGCTAATTTATTTACCCGCGGTATCTAATTAAAAAGCGTAGATCTAATAAATTTATAATTAACTATATATATAAATTTAAGATTTTCTAGTTTAACTCTATCTTATTCTTTTATATATATTAATAAGATATCTTAATTAAGATTTCTATATTTAAAAGTATAAAGTAGCTATTTTAATTATTATTTTATTTAACGATTAATAAATTCGATATAATAGCTATTATTATTATAGCTATTACTATTATAGCTATTACTATTATAATTATTATTATTATAACTATTACTATTAAAACTATTATTTATTATTATTATTATTATTATAGCTATTATTATTATAATTATTACTATTATAACTATTATTATTATAACTATTATTTATTATTATAATTATTACTATTATAGCTATTACTATTATAGCTATTATTATTTATTACTTATTATTATAACTATTATTATTATAGCTACTATTAAAAGATAATCTTCGTATATCTTAGTTACTTCATTTTTAATTCTTATTTATCTTAGCTATTATATTTTTTAGCTATTTAATTTTATATTATATTTAAAATCTAATCTCGAAGAGATTTTAAAGAATTAATTTATTCGTTTTATATATTATATATAAAATATTTTAATAGCTATTACTATTATAATAATAATAGCTATAATTATAATAATTATAGTAATAATAGCTATAATAATAATAGTTATAATAATAATAGCTATAATAATAATAATAATAATAATAATAATAATAATAATAATAATAATAATAATAATAATAATAATAATAATAATAAGTAATAATTATAATAATAATAGCTATAATAATAATAGTTATAATAATAATAGTTATAATAGTAATAGTTATAATAGTAATAGCTATAATAGTAATAGTTAATATAGTTATTAATTAGAATAATAACTAGAATAGCTACTTATACTTTTAAATATAGAAATCTTAATTAAGATATCTTATATATATATTATTCTATAATATAACGAGTAAAGATCTATAAATTAAATTCATAATTTTTTTTTTTAATTAGAGCTGTCGAGTAAATTTGATGAGCGGTCTTTAGTAAGCGAACTTTGATAAGCGATATTTAAACTCTTTACGCTTTAATAATTATAAGACTAAACTTTAAAGTTCTTAAAAATTCGAAAAGCATAAATAGCGCTTTAAAAATTAAAAAAAATCTTAAAAATTTAATAGAAAATAAAAAAGTAATTCTATATGTTAATAATATATATTAATTTTTTTAATAAGAGAGATATAGGAGAGCGAGATTTTAATAATTACAAACGCTAATTTATTTATTTATAATAACTTAGTCGATCTAGTTAAAAGACGTAATAATCTCGAATTTATAATTAATTATATATATAAATTTAAGATTTTTAAGCTTAGCTCTATCTTATTCTTTTATATATATTAATATTATAGATATACTATATTATAATATATATATTATTAAGATCTCGAATCTATATTAGAAAAATAAAATAATATTTAATCTTATTTATATTATACTCGAGTATGATATAATATTACTTAATATAAAATATTCTATAAAATATATTATATTCTTTCGACTAGTAATCTTAATATAAAAAAAGTAATATAATATTATCTTCGTTTTAAATAGTATTAGCGTTTTTTATTATAATAAAATTAAAAATTAATTATAAAGTTTAAAGAGATATAAGCGATAATTAAAAAGATAAAGTAAATAAAAATAATTAATAGATTAATAATATAGAGATTTAAGATATAAATTAATATATAATAAAAGTAGTAAACTAGCGATAAATATAGATCTTATTAATCTCGCTTTATATATAAGCGAGTTTATTATAATTCTAAAATATATTATTTTTATTAATCTATTTCTATTTAAGTTTTTAATAAATAAATTATAATTAAATAATATAAAAATTAAAAATTAAATTTAATAGAATAAGTAATTTTATTAAAGAATCTAACTAGTAAATAAAAGATATAGCGAGAATAGAGAAGAAAAGAGATAATTAGAGAGTTCTTTTATAGACGATATTTATAGAAATAGTTTAATAATAATAGTTTAATATATAGTTATAGTCTTTATAATAAGCTTATAAGAATATTTAGAAGCTATTAATAGTAGCTAATTAGTAATAATATAGATAGAAGAATAATATATTTTTTAAAGAAAATTACTTTTATTTAAAGTTAGAAAAGAAAAAAGTCTAAAAAATATCTTTTTATAACGAGAGAAATAAGAATAAGAAGTAAAAAATAAAAGAGATATCGCTTATTTAAGGCTCTTTCAATATAGTAATCCAGGCTATCCTATTATAAGTATACTATGCCTTTCCCTTACTAGCCTTCAATTAAGCTATGGCGAATATAGCTCTACGGAGGTGTTCCTCTTCAACCGCCCAGTAAATCTGCCACTCCAGATTGGGATCATCTGATCGTGAATATCTTGACTGTCTTTCACTCCCCTTGGGAAATGCTCCTTATAGTTGTAGAGAAACTCGGTACGGGCAGCTTCAGCTTTCGCTGCATGGCTGGCGGCGTCGTCATCTCGGCCTAGTGCGGAGAGCACCTTGGAAAAGCGAAAGTGTGCCATCGCAGAGCCTTCTTTAGTCCAAGATATTTTCCTTCGGGTTCCAAAACACTGTGATAAGGATTCTCTGCGGTCACTTAGCTTGATCAAAGTCCGGGACCATGTAATTCAAACAACTATCTTACCTGGCTTCATCGAACCTGCCTATCTCGAAGAGGAGGGCACCCACTTCCGAGTAGCTTTCTAGCGTAAGAAGGTTATCCTTGCCGCAAACACGGATTCTATCACGTAGACATTCTTGATTAACCTTCAGAGATTCCTCCAGTTCCCCCGCGTGGTATAATTGATTCCCCAAGTTGAATCTGTTGTATTGGACCAGCGGCGCGTTGGGCCCTCCATGGATTTGTTGGAGGTCGCAGGCCCGGCGAGCAGACACAATGGCCTCGATATGCCGACCTTGGAAGGTACGGACAAACGCAATGTGATTGTAGTACTTGGCATACTCGAACGGAATTTCCTCTTCCACAGTCGTCCACGATTTATATTGGACTAGACAGTTCTCGAATATAGTCTCAGCTTCCTCGAACAACTCGGCGTTGAGGTACGCGCAGCCCAAGTTGGCTTCGGCGTTGTAGAGGCGGACTTCGTCAATCCTTGTCCGATCCTCTTCGGCTATGCGGCCGTGTTCGATTTTGCGGATTTGGAGTGCGCGGCGCCTTCGGCGCAGGCTGTCGGCGCGACAAGATATCCCAGTAAGGTCATCGATAATGCCCAAGACGTCGTCGATATCGCTGAACAAGATGTTTAGATCGTCCAACGGCACCTCCTCCAAGCATTTTTCGGCAGTCTCAAGCGCGGCCTTGCCCTCGACCAAGAGACCCTGTTGCCACAAGTAGACACCGGTGTCAATCAGGACCCGGACGAAATCCACGGGCAACTCGATCTTGGGTTCAGGCCACAGTGAGTGGGTTCGTAGGCTGCTAATTTGAGGTACATAAGCATCATACTTGTGCCAGGCATCCGGTTGGGAAGCTTGTATGCGTGACGCTTCGGGCATCTGTGCTCGAACTAAGGCAAATGCCTGCATGAAAGCTTCCTGGCGACCTTTTGTATTCTGGCTCAGCCGATGCAGAATGCTCAACTGAAGTGATCTGTGAACAGAGAAATATGTCTGGCCACCTGAAGGTGCTTCCCTTTTGACGAGTTGGCGGACATTGAGGTTTTTTATGATCTCGTAGTACCTGGGAGGTATCAACTTTGCATCTCCTGACTGCAATAGAACGGAATGCTCACGACTTGTTTTGAGACAGGAACTGCAGCGACGGGTCGGTATGGTTATACAAGAGCATTTCTTCAGGAATCATGTCTGGGTTCAGAAATGCCATTACGTTCAACAATGTTTGCGCGTCGGCTGACAGATTCTTGGAGGCAATGTCAAAGACGGTGCTCAGACTTTTACTATATGTGCTCTCATCAGCATATCCTGGGCCACTGCTTTTCTCCCATATCGCATTCGAGGCCAGCAGGCTAGAGAGAAATTCGGGGACCGTGGTCATAGTGGCTTTGATGTATCCACCTATGGTGGTCAAGGCCAGAGGTAGGTGGCCTACGAAGTCCGAAATCTCACTTGCGATGACTTCCTCTTCGTCATCTTTGGCGTCGCGGTTCAAGGTCCTAAACAAGAGCCTCGTGCCCTCAGTACGACTCAGGCTTAGCAGCGGCCAGGTCAACGAGGCTTGAGTAATTTGAGGGAAGTCGGGGATCTGGGTGGTGACCAATATCGCTCCCGACGTAGCGTGTCGGGGAATGTAGTCGATGATGTGGTTGAAACTGTCAACATTGTCAAAAACGAGTAGCCAACGTGTCTCTGTCGCTCATTAGCATGCTCTTCTGGTCGTTGGACGTAATACTCACCGGTAGTCTCAAGCCATTCACGAACTTCCATGACATCCAGGTTTGAATCATGCTCCTGGCTACCATTGCGACTATTTGTAGCAGAGCTCATGGAACGTTTTAATCTCTCCGTAATCATCGCATAAGATCTTACCAGCTCGGCTACAGTCTCGGCTCGCAGCCAAAAGATGGCATCAAACTTATCTGCGCAGGAGTAGGTATACTGAAGTGCGACTTGTGTTTTTCCGACCCCTCCAATGCCGTGGATAGTGCAAGATACTAGTCCAGTGGTATTCGATGACGATTTTGAAGGCCTCAAGGCAGAATCGATGCCGATCAGCACATCTTCCCGGCCGGAGAATTTGTAGTTCTGGAGGGGCCGGTCTGTGTGAATAGGAAACCGCATGGAGCCGATCGAGTCTCTAAGTGGCGGTGGCGGTATTGCCGCAGGTGTCATTTGTAGTGCCATGACCCGTGCGGTTTCTGAATGTTGAAAAGCTGTTAGGGCTTGCTGGAGTCTGCTATAGCACTTGGAAAATTCTGCTTTTGTATTTGGAAGGTTCACCTTGGGTGAGGTTTCTGTGAAATGACGCCAGATGCTTCCTGGGATTGCACATCAGTCAGTGAGCGGAGGCTGGTAGATGGGTGTAAAGAATTCGATGGGTAGAAAAGAATCTTACGTGATGGAAACGGCCACGGGCGTAGATACTGTACTGCTTTGATACAGAACTCTGTATATGCATCAAAGACGTTCCTCAGTTCCCAATGTAGAACCGGCTGTTCGTCATAAAGTTGAGGGGACTGTCCGAAGGCTGGAAGCGCTGTATTGAGACGTGTAAAGACAGTCAATGTGTTCTGTAGGGTGTCGGGAGACCTGCACGACTAATTCTATCCTATCAACAGAGGGTCCGCCAGAGGAATTCGCATGTGTTTGGGTGACTGGCAACCCACCTCAATGACCGCTTGTAGTCCGCTCCACGTGATCAGTGACGCTTGATCTGAGTGCACGACGAGTTGCACTGTGGTAGTAAACAAGTGGAGATTGGTCAAGCTCGATATGAACGGGGATAAATGCTGAGATGGACGCCCTTTATGGGACAGTTCAGACTTCTCGCTGAGATATTTCTGAAAATCCTCAGAAGTCTTGGTATTATAAGTACTATCATAGGGATGTGCAATGTTGAGGCGATCTCGTTTATCCTCGATGAGCTCATTCCATTTTTGCAGCTGGTAGTCAACCATTGTCGTATTTGCCAATCAATACGCAGGCAGGGAATGCTAGAGTGAAGTACATTCCTGCTTGAAGATTCTAGGGGGGAGAGAGGGGGGGAGCGGGGGTTGCGCGGCTGAAGTGCCGAGGATGTTTGATTTGGGAAAAGAACAGCAATTTGCCTGGATGGTGATGATGTGCAGCTCATCGACGATTGTGTGCCTATCAAGGCGTTATTGGTGGGAGCCCATTATTCTGTGAAGACAATGGTGGTTTCGAGCCGAAATCAATCTCTTGATACTTAGTAAAAGCGGCGGGACGAGCAAGCATCGGAGATCTACGGCGTGGAAAATGGAGTACTCTTAGGGTCCATGTGCATATGCATGCATGAGCTCTTGTGCTATCACATATGCAAGCGTGTGTGATACATACCCGCTCCATTGGCTAGCAGGTAAGCTGACTTACCGACTACTACTTCGCTGCCTATCTATCGATCGGCCTTCCTGGCCCCAGCTCCGCAACTTGCCCCCACAGCACTTTTCCCCCCCCTTTTCCTTCTCCAATGAAAATGCGCCTTGTGTCTCAAGTTTTTTCATTGTGCGATTGAAGACACGTAAAGAAAGCCAAATAAACATCATGAGGGAGGTCGCCCAAGGCCTCCGCGCTCTCAGCAGTGCCATCACAAGGATAAGCAACATTTCCGGTACGCCGGGCGTATCTGTGGGAGTTTTGCACCATGGCGAGGTGGTCCACACCGCAAACTTTGGGTATCGAGACGTCGAAGCAAAACTGGCTCCTGATGAAGACACCATATATCACATAGCTTCCTTGAGCAAGCTCATCACAGCGGCAGGAATCGGCATTCTGGTCGACGACCAGAACCTCTCTTGGAAATCACCCATCTCGAGTATTCTACCAGGCTTCAACCACAAGGATCCTGTGATTACCAAGGAGGCAAATAGCATCGATCTTCTCGCACATATGGCTGGTGTGGCAAGCCAGAACCAATTCATAATGCAAGAATATGGTCGTCTGTCCCTATCTCAGCAGGAGACATTGCCTATTTTCTCTTCCTTGCCCCAGATTGCGGAATTCCGGTCAACCTGGAACTATTGCAATTGGCACTATGGTGTTGCAGCAATGGTCGTGGAGAGAATCAGCGGCATATCTTGGGGTGATTTCCTCAAAACTCGCATCTTTGATCCCCTTGGTCTAAAAAGGACGATAACCATACGAAACCCGATGACACCAAACTCGCAATTCGACAACGTTGCCCGAGGCTACATAGCCCTTGAGGACGGAAGTCCACTCCTTACCGAACGTCCCTACGTTAGTAGTGGGACCTTGTTCTCAGGTGCGGCAGGGGTACAGAGCAGTGTCAACGACCTCCTTCGACTTTATCAAACGCTACTCGCCTCCAACTCGGACCAATCTATAAAAAATTCGCCCTTCAGACAACTTTCCACCCTTTTCTCTGCCCACATACCTATTCCAGGGTATTCAGTCAATAAAAAGGCATATTCATTGGGCCTGGTGCGTACGGAACTTCCTGGGAGCCTCGGTGTCACAGGCCTGAACAGCATGTCGGTGTCAGAGATGCCTGTTGTTGGTCGGGGAGGCGGCCCCAAGATTGTGTACCACCACAACGGCAGCCTGGCTGCATTTCTGGCTTGCGTTATTCTCATTCCGGAGTCCCAATCCGTGATCGTTGTCCTTACAAATTCGATCGCCAAAAACGACTGTGCTGACTGGATCGCCCAGATGCTGTTGGAGGAACTGATAGACTGCCCAGAGAAGAACGACTATGAACATATAGCCCAGACAAGTGCCGATGACATGATCTCCAAGTGGAATAGTATGCCCGTCCAGCTAGAGGAACAGCGGATCCCAAACACTCTACACAGGTCGATTGAGCAGTATGCCGGAGGGTATTTCAACTCGATTGGAGACTATTATCTTGACATTTTTGTTGAGGACGGCGAGCTCTTCATGTGTATGCAGGGCGACCGTACTCAGACGTACAAGCTCAACCACTACCACAACGACACCTTTTCCTGGCTTCTGACATGGGACGAAAATGCTCATCGCGGCCGTTTCCGAGTCCCTTCTCCGGAATACTACCTTCTGAGGTTTCAGGCACAAGACGAGAGCATATACGCCATCAAGTGGAGCATCGACCCGGACATCCCGAACGGGCAGCTATTTTCCAAGCAAGATGATGCTGGCCTAGAACAGATTCGATTCAAAATCTAGCACGTTCTCCCCTCCACTACCCCACCAGCGTATAATAGCTAATCATTTTCCTGACAGGGTGGGTAAATAAAAAACCAAGTAGGAAGCACTTCGAAAATTCTGCGATGTGAAAGAAAAGGTACCTGACGGAAGCTTATGAATCGAGTGAAAGAGGATGTAGATTTCTAAGTGTTGAGATTTGCTATAGCACCTATATTAAAGCTATTCTATATAATAGTAAATAGAAATATAAGTAGTTTACTTAGTACTCTTATAGCTATCTAATTAATTAATTCTTTATATTATTTTTAATAGATTATAAGATCTTCGCGCTATTACTACGTAGTTATTAATTATTAATTTAATCTTTAAATATTAAATTTAGCTTAGTTATAGTAATTTCGACGATTTTATTACTATTATTACTACTTTTCACTATTATTAATATTATTACTATTCTTTTACTTTTCTACTACGACTATTATTTAATTAAGAGATTAAAGTATATAGAGATTACTATTATTCTACTATATAATATCTATTATTTAAGAAATTAAAGTATAAATTAAACTTCTTATAGAGAATAACTTTAACTTATAATATATCGATATATATACTTATCTTCGCTTTAAGAAACTATAAAAGTATATTTATAATATTTAAATTTTAGACGATACTACTATTTCGAAGAATAGAAAGACTTTATATATATTTAAGAAAGAATAGAAAGCTATAAAGAACTAAGAGAATAAGTCTTAAGAAGTCGCTAATCTAATAACTTTAACTATTAGTTATACTATTAAGAGAAAGCTTATAGAGATCGAATTTAATAATAACTATCTTATACTTATACGACTTTATATCTTACTTTAACTCTTAAATTTTTCGAAATTTATATATATCTTAAAGAAGTATTAATCTATATAATTTAAGTTATTTAAATTAATATCTAAATATCTTACTTATATTAAAATTCTCGAGAAAAGAATTAATATTATAAAGATTACTCTCGATATAAATAATTATACGATTCTCTAACTTTCGATATTACTATCTTAGAAATACTAGTATCTTATATAAATTTAAGCTATTACGCTCTTAATTATAGTCGAAAAAGTACGCTTTATACTTTTAAAAGCTAGTCGTTAATATACTTTAATCTTATATAATTATTTAAACTTAGTAATCTATTATTTTAATAAGATAATAAATTAAAGATACTTTAAATATAAGTATTACGATTATATAAGATACTTAAACGATCGATATTAATTAAAGTTTTTATATCTCGCTTTTAAATAATATTAAATTAAGCTTAAATATAATACTTAGTAAAAAAAAATATATATATATATAATAATAATAGCTAGAGAAAACGACTTCGTAGATAATAATAATATATATATTATATATTAAAGAAATAAAAATATAACTATTTATATTATATTATAAAAATATAATAATATTATATTATAAGAGTACGAGTAAAAGTCTATTAATTAAATTTATAATTTTTTTTTAATTCTATCGAGTAAATAGATAAGCGATCTTTAGTAAGCGAACTTTAATAAGCGATATTTAAATTCCTTACGCTTTAATAATTATAAGACTATATTAAAAAAAAATTATTTATCTAAAAGTCTATATTTTATTTTATAATTTAGAAAAAAATCTTAAAAATTTAATAGAAAATTAAAAAGTTATATTATATATTAATAATATATATCTATTTTTTTAATTATTACGAATATTAATTTATTTATTTACGATAAGTTAGTCGATCTAATTAAAGAATATAGCGAATTTAAATTTATAATTAATTATATATATAAATTTAAGATTATTAAACTTAATTCTATCTTATTCTTTTATATATATTAATATTAAGATTTATTATAATATTTATATTAAAGCGATTTTATATAATGTTAAATAGAAGTATAAGTAGTTTACTTAATACTCTTATAGCTATTTAATTAATTAATTCTTTATATATTTTTAATATTAAGAGATATTTATAAGTTAAATAAGTTAAATTATATAGTATATAGCTAGCTATAAAAGAAAATAAGAAGCGCGTTTTAACTATTATCGCTATAATAAGTCGATTATAATTATATATATATTATTATCGTAAGTCGTTTCTAGATTAACGTATAATCGAAGCTTATATATCTTACGAGTATTTAAAGTATCGTTATATAAAGCTTATCGCTTATATACGATAATATTCTTATTAAGTTCTTTTCTCTTTATAAAGAAGTTAATTAAGTACGATATAAAGCTTCTAATTATAAATCTACGTATATATTCTATACTCGAATCTTCGATTTCTTCTCTAATAGCTAATAGCTCTATTTTAGCTATAAGTTAATTATATTAACTAGAGATTATATTTTAATACTCTCTCTTTATTTATCTTATAGAAATATAAAGACGATAGCTATTAATAGCGATTATTACGAGCGTATTTTTAATATATTACTTAGCTCTATAAATAGCGAGTCTTAACGAAGATATCTTCTATTATATTATACGAGTAAAGATTTATAAATTAAATTTATAAACATTTTTTTTTAATTGAAGCTATTTAACTCGATCGAGTAAATTTAATAAGCGATCTTTTAGTAAGCGAGCTTTAATAAGCGATATTTTAAATTTCTTATACTTAAAGAACTATAAGATTAAAATTTAAGATTATTTTATTTTTAAAAAGCGTTAATTACGGGCTATAATTTAAAAAAAAATTAAAATTTTTAATAGAAAATAGTAAAGTTATTAAAGGATTAAAAGTAGAGTAAGAGATTTTAATAATTACGAACGCTAATTTATTTATTCGCGATAATTTAGTCGATTTAATTAAAGAGCGTAGTAACTCTAAATTTATAATTAATTATATATATAAATTTAAGATTTTCTAGCTTAGCTCTATCTTATTCTTTTATATATATTAATTATATCTTCTTCTTATATATATAATTTAATAGTCTTATTATTCTATCTATCTTATTTATATAATATATCTCTATACTAATTCTAATATTATAGTAAAACTTCTTTATATTCTCTTACTTAACGAAAAGAATCTTAAATAAATAAGATATATCTAGATTTTTAGTTATATACTTAAGAATAGCGAAGTAATTAATAATAGCTATCAAAGATCTATCTTCTTTTATTCGAATTAGCTAATAAATATTAAAAGAAACGCGCTAATAAAGACTTTAATAAGATATTAAATTAAGTTATCGTATTTCTAGAAAAGTCTACTATATTAGTAAATCGATTTTAAAGAGTATTTAACGAGATAGCGAAACGATTCTATTAAAATAGTAGGCGAGGAATAAATAAGATATTAGAATTATTTATACGACTAGCGAATTAATAGTAGAAAGAAATTATTATAAATTCTATATTATAGTAAGTCTACTATAATAGCGACGAAAATAATTCTAAAACGACTACGATTCGATTTCTTTACTAAGTATATTAATAATATATATAATAAGTCTACTATTAAATAGTATTTAATATATTTAATTCTTTTTCTATCTCTCTACTATATCTACGAATCGATAAGTATATAAGTTTACGAAAGTAATTTATATTAATTAGATTATTAGCTATTAAATACTCGCTATAATAGTTTAAAATAAGTAGATTTACGAGATATGAATAATTAAAATAATATACTTATAAGGCGAATAAATATAATAGATAATATTATAAATTAAAATAAAGAAAATAAAGCGAAGAATAGATTTTTAATAATAAGAGTATAGAAATATAAAATAAATTTATATTATAACTCTTAAACTAAATTACTAATAAATATTAAAGTTAAGTTTATAGTATATATAGAAATATAATATACGTATATTCTCTTTTAATATATATATATCTTCTTTTAATATATATATATCTTCTTAAATTCGATTAGCTTTCGCGCGATCGCTAGTCGTATAAGATATAAATCTTATATATAATCGAAGTAGAGTCGAAAGCCTTCTTTATTATTACGTTCCCGATATAGCGTGACTCCTTACTAGCGTAACTTGGCATGTCGCTTCCTTTCCTTTCTTCGAGAACGTTCTTAGCTTAATATTTCAATCATTCAATCACAATCAGAACCAAGAAACACCTTTCCCTTCTTCGTGAAACTCCTTTCTAGGAGTATATGTATGCTTCTTACACAGTATCCCTAATATTTATAATTTAATATATTTTTATATTTTATATCTATTACTATTAATTAAATAATTATAACTCTATTATAATCGTTAAAAGACTTATTAAATATTATTCGCGAAAGTCTTAGATATAAGATTTAAAAGTATATATATCTAGAAGACTATACTATTATTATATATTTTTTTAAGAAAAATAAGAAGAATATTATAAATAAGATATAATTACGCTATACTCGAGAAAATAAGATAAGAATAATTATTAATTAAAAGAGAATTTATAGATTCTCTTATTTAAATAAGTATTCGTTTAAGACTATAACTAAGTATTATTCTAACGATAATTAATATTTTAAGATATATAAGACGTTATATAACTATTTAGCTATTCTATAAATAGCGTATATTACTCTTCGTTAGATTACTCTTATTAAGAAGATAGAGAAAGCTATTAATAAGTATATTAAGAATTATATAACTTTAAATAAGATTATCTTAAATCTATCTTATAAGAATAACGAAGAGAATTCTATTTTTAGAATATAAGATATCTATAATATAAAGATTATAATTTATCGACGAGAATTAAAATTACTTATATCGATATAAGTATTAATAAAATAACTATATTTCGATAATTACTATATTAAATTTCTAAAGAATTTTAAGAATTAGATTATATATCTTTTTTTCTTTAAGAAATTATAGTAGAAAATATTAAGAGTTAATTAATAGATACTTATTATAGCTTATATCTATAAGACGAATAAATAGAAGCTTTTTCTACTTATTATTATCGGTGTAATTATACTTAACTTATTATTTTATATAATC